ATGTTTTCCACTTGGGTGTGACAGTCGATGACAAAGTTCAGAATTATGGTCTCTCTTTGATTGAACTGTTCATAGTTCTTATGCAACTGAATGACACAATTCATGAAGGTGATGGAGATAGAAATGTTATTAATTGGAAATACCTTTTGTGGGTTTTCAAAGCCAATAACAAATTGTCAAAGTATGCAATTGAAGGAATGTACCTCCTAACTTCAGTAAAGTGCATGCTGATCCACCAGGTGTCCGAACCTGTTATTTGGGGAAGAGGGAAAGAAAGGGAAAATTGGGGTCAATATGCCAAATGATTTAGAAATGGAGCATACCATCAAGAGCACAAAAAATCTGATAACTTCAATGGGGGCAAATAAAACTGAGGAGGCTGTGCTTCGTAGCTCAATGGCAGTCAGTGAATCCCTGCATGCCTATGATGAGAGTCCAAATGTTATTGGGCCACCGTCAACTGCTCACACTGAAAAAAGTGCTGATAGATATGAAGGCATTATGCTGGGGGATCTGAGGTTGCTAAGGCCATTCAAATGCGACCCAATGCATGAGCCTCATCCTTCATTCCCTGTTATGCTGAAGAGTGTAAGAGAGAAGATTGACCTGGGTGAATTCTTGCGTTGGCTTGAAAATCATCTTGCAAGAGACAGCTTGCAAGGGGCCAATCTGTAGTTCCTGAAAATGAAGAATCTGAATCGTCTGATGCAGATGACTAAGTAAAGTACACATGTCATAACAAAAGTAGAATTTTTTCCTCATCTACTGCGTTAAAAAAGAGGATCTTTAAAATGGAATTCAGTTCAGTTCAATTTATAGTTTTAGGATGTACAAAAAACAAGAAAATTTAAGTATTTAAAGCTAATGGTGAGGAGGCCCAAGGGAAGCCACTTGGCTTATAAGGAATGGGCTCCCTCAGATAAATTATCACAACAAAATATTATCAGAATTGTTTATGGTACCTAGAATGTTTTGCAGATTTTCTTACGGAGGATTTTAAGCCTATTTGGATGTGACATTACTTATAATCTGTACAATCTTTTCTGCATGTTCTTTTCTCCAAACCGGTAGTTTTTCCATAATTCTGTCAAGAGAACAGAGTTCTTGAAGTGTTGAACAAACATCATCAATTACTGTCATTGTTAATCCTGAACACATACTTAAATTCAAATAGTTATCGCTGGCCTCAATTTCTTCTTTGTATTTTATAAGCTCTGATTTTATATCTTTCACCTGTTTTCCAGAAAGAAGAAATTCATTATCAGAGATGTGAATGTTTTCAAGGGCCAAAACATCTTGATGTAGCTCAACACATTCAGAGCACTCACAGTCAGTTCAACATATGTTACAGCAGCTGTGTTTGTCTCGAGCACTTGGAATGCCAAAACCAAAGTGGCTAAGCACAATTTTTCTTCTGCAGACATTTTGAGGGTTTTTACAGTAATCTCTCATAACAGGTTGCATTCCGTCAACATTTGCACCAATATCGTTGTTGAAGTAAATTAAGAGTTGATGTGGCAGGCCTCCCATCTCTTCCAGCTCTCCCACTTTCTTGAAAAAAACTCTCCATAGTTCGGGCACACCAAAATGAATTATCCTTTCAACACAAGGAGAGTCGAACCCCATGCCAAATGCCACTGTAGCAAATATTACTCTCTGTTTGCATGACTCTGAAACAATGCTGCTAATAAGTTCATGTTTCATTTTGTCTGTCTGTGGCAAGTGAAATTGAGCAAAAAGCCTGTTTTGAGGAATTTGGGGAGCCCCAATAGGCTAGAACTGGTGATCCCCAAGCTTTCTCTCCAAAAAGGCATACCCAACTCCACACATTTCTAATGATGAGTAAATAATAGTGACCGGCATTTTAATATTGGCAATAATGAGTTCATCTGCTATGGGTGAAAGAATTTCTTCAAACTGGTTAATGTTACTTTGTTTAAGATAGGATGGCCTTTGCTGTACTTCATAAAAAATGTTAGGCCTGTCAGGATTTGTAATTACAAGTTTGGGATCTTTCATGTTCAGACTTTTCATAATGCTTGTTTGATATTCCTTTGTTGCTGTTGCTGTCATGGCAACAATCTTAGCCGTGGGGAATACCGAGGAAAGTGTTCCTAGTTTTCTGTAGTCTTCTCTGAAGTTGTGCCCCCTAAACAATGAAACACAAAGTACAAATGCTGTAGTGATACACTGAAATGCTGTTATACTTGCCACTAGAATAAGAGAATTTGGCCACAAGAATCAAGGATAATGCCTACATGAAAGGGAACTTTCAAGTAACTAAGCCGTTATAGTAGGGTCGAATTAAGAAGAAAAAGGCTGCAATAACTTTGTTATTAGTAACAATATGGCCATGTAGTTGTATTAGCTTTTCACCCTTTAAGCCCCAGTGATGAAATTTCCCTTAACTGTTCTTAGGTGTATATTTTTCCTAGTAGCACTATACAGAGGTCGCTGAAATATCAAGAAGCTTAGCCACTGGTAATCTCTTGGCCTCTGCTTGATTGGAGGTCATTATTGGGGCTTAAAGGTTCAAGGTTCACTTTTCTGTTATTATTATGTGATGTAACTGAAAATATTTTGTTCAACCTGCTTAACATCAATAAAATAATATTTATCACATAACATTCACGCAAATATTAATGCAAGCTGCTCAAGGTCAGCAAAATGGCACCATCCAGGAATTTAGCATCTCTAAGGGTGACATTTTTTAAAGTTTTGGACAACAAATTATTTTAGAATTCCCAGTCGTATTGTTTTGAACATAATTTTTTCTTTAATTTCACACCAGCTTTCTGTGATGGACTTGGGTCATTAATTTACGGTTAGATTATACTGTGTTTCAAACATTCACTGTCGCTGTTAAACAATGTGGTGATGAAATACTTAGGGAAGTTAGAGATTCAGACTAGTGTGAAAGGAGGACACACAGTTGCACTAAAAATGAATGACATTCAATTTGAACTGGCCACAGATATGCACTGGAAAACAAATGGTGAAGATAAGTATCAAGTGGCTACTTAAATGAACCCAAACAGTCATTTGTACCTTGTAAAGACTTCTTTTGCTTGTGTGCTTTGTTGCCTTAATATAAGTCATTTGATAATACTTGGAGAACAGAACTGTTTCTTTCAAATTTTAAAGATGTGCATTAAATTTGAGAAAACACATCACATGATACCTCTTGAGAGCATCAAAATTTTACACATTGACAAAACAAAGTCTACAAGCACAACAGGTCTATGACTATTAGTTTTTTGGTGATCTGATCAAGGCACCCATCAGAAGCAATTGAAATACTAAGATAGCTGCTTTTGGACATAATAAAACCTTTTCATTTAGTTGATCTAGCATGTACATAGCATAAGGTAATAAATATCATTACCGCAATGATAAGAATAGAAACAGCTCATTGTGTCCTTGCAGAATAAATGCACGTAGTAAACTTTGAGTTTCATTGTATAGTTCAAATTTTGGAGTCTGGATCCCGGTGTGAGAACATTGAATTCATAAACTTTGTGAAATCTTCATAAAGCAGCAACTAAGGTTGACTGACTACAAAACTAACTTTATGTTAAATCCTTTCAGGTGTGTGGTGACAAAAGTGATCATGTAACCCAAAAATTTGAGTCTAGGGAACAGGAACTTAACAATAGGTGTAGGGGCCATTTCTAGCCCTAACATAAAGGAAGCTTATAACCTTAAAAGTATTAACAATATGATCAAACAGAGAAAAACAACAACAAAAAGTAATGATAACCATAATTTACCACTCAATGATGCAATGTGCTTCATCAACCACCACAGCCCTAACATTTTTCTCGTAGTAAGCCGACAAAAAAGGTCTCTACATTGCCTGTTGCTTACTGATACCTCGGGGTGTGTAAAAATGAATTCAAACTTTCCATCTTGAAGGTCTACAAGAATTTTCTCTTCAAATTCGCCATCGACCTCTTCACCACAAACACGCAAACTTGTACAATTGACACCAGCCGATTTAAGTTTATTTATTTGGTCATCAATTAACTCATTCAAAGGAGAAACAACAATGACAATTGACTTGTCCTTCGATGAAAGGTTCCTCGCACTAATTTTATCAAACAGTAGCTAACAGTGATGGTAGCATTTGGTAGATCAACGACTTTCCGTAGCCAGTCGGAAGAACAATTAAACAATCCTGACCTTTAAAAACAATCGACTGTAGTGCTTCTTTTTGTCTAGGCTTCAGTATAAGATTTCCTTGGCCTCTACTTCGAAGAACATCTTCAAGAACACTGTCCAAATCCATGTTTTCCCTATGTTTCCCGAACAGTAAGCACGAACATGCGCAGTTATAGCAAGGCCCGTATATCGTTTAATCGGGCCTCGCTTCTACTGAGCATGATCGAAATCGAACTTTACCAGATCTCTTCCAGATCTCCCTTTCCCTTGGCCGTGGGAGATCTGGGTACGAGATTAATTAGGATTTTGATTTCAAACTGACCTCGGAAGCGAAAATTCATCCAGTCAGGGGGGCGCTGGCAACGGCCTTTGATCTTGCCGCTTTTCGGCTTTCCATGATCGCCCCAGTTAAGAAATCTGTCAATCATCCGAAACCTGTAGCGAGCATGCGCGGAACGGATTGGGAAAACAAGTTCGTCTTGGCAGCTTCTTCGCAGCGATTCGGCAGTGTAAAGTGAAGTTGCGTTTGGTTGCTTTTGGTCCCGTTGGTCATTGGTTTCTTCGTTTTGTTCCGCGGTAATGTGGAGCTTACGTTTTCCTTTCTTCTGGTCTTGCGTTTGTCATTAAATGCGGCTCGGTTTACTACGGTAAGAACGAGACCAGTGAATGTTTCTTGATGCCCGACCTTTTGATGATTTGTTTCTGTTTAGACGACCCACGAATTGCAAGAGTAAAAGAAGGGCCAGCCCTCCAATACGTATGTAGAAGAGTTTATATTTTCAATCGAAAGGCCCAAAATTAATTCCTCGTGGTATTAAAAAAAGTGCGGTGACTGGCATGTGGTTGAGTAGAAGAGTTGTCAGAGTTCAGCTGAGAGTTGTTTACGGCTTCACTACACCTTTAAGACGACTAGAAATGATGATTGAGATTCTCAGTTCTACATCCTTGATTGTGAACTTATCCTGGCAGAGTTGCGTTGGATGATTGAGTGGCATGGTCAAATCTCGTA